TTTGTTTAAGAGTGATAGACACTGGGAACTGCTCCTCTCTTGCCCTTTGCCTTCATCCTTACTGGGACTCTGTGTGTCTGCCTCTAGGAACAGCCCCATGTGGGCGGTCTGATCCTGAGAGCTGCAAACATCCTGCCAGGTTTCCATTGACCTTGGACCCATGTGAATGCACATCCCCCACCTGTGTTGTCTCTGCTTCCAACTTCCCCTTATGACATCATCCGCCTATAGCTACATGAGTCTAAAGAGGGGCCCCAGCTATCATCAGACCTATGGGCTTGAGTTAGACAGGCTGGGGTACCTTCTTGATGTAGCCTTGCTTCTTGATATCTTTCTTGTGCATAGATGAGTGTCACTGGTTTGTTTCTATAGACGGTGCAGCCTAACACACTCTATCAGCCAACAGGCAATGGCTACTTTACAGCATCAAGGAGAGGGTTGTGGGGCATGGAAATGGAGTCCAATTCAAAGACACCACTAAACCAGAAATAACTCAAATGCTGACACAATGTGAAGTATGTAACCAATGTCACCGATCATTAATGCCTCAAAACTCGACTGAGAGTGGGTTTTGTTGATCATATTTCCAAAATCTACTCCAAATTAAAACTACTCCAGAATGAAACTAAACCTAAGATGGCATTGGATAGCAAGTGACTTATTGGGAGAGACGTCTGTGGATAATCAAGGGAACAACCTTGAGGACAGGATGCTGAGTGAAAGAAGGCAGGCGCAGATGCAGCTGGTCCAAATTGTATGATTCCATCCCTAGGAATCATCCAGAGCAGGTAAGCCATAGAAACAGAAAGAGAGCTGGGTGGTGGTCACCAAGGGCCAGGGAGGGAGGAGAGGGGAAATGACTAGTAATGGACATGCATTCCTTCTGGGGAGAGGAAAATGCTTTGTAATTTAATTGAAGGGGCCATTGCCCATCACGTAGAATGTACGAACTATTGCTGAATTGTATGCTGCTAAATGGGGAGTTTTCAAAGGCTAATTTTCTGTCATATGAATTTCATGTCAAATCAAGAGAGAGAAGGAAAGAAGCTGGACAAGGGGGCAGACCTCAGATGGCCATGTGGATCTGACACCAGTGAAGGGAGAAGAAAGAGGAGGGCGAGATGACCCTCCAATTGCAGCATCTTGGAAATGTGAGAAAGTTTGGCCTGCGTGATGGGCATTCTGTTACCCAACAGAGGAGTCTCGGTTGCCAATGGATTGGGTTTGTGACAGCCATGCTGATTCAGTGGTAGAATTAGCCCCTTCCAGCGGAGAGGGCAAAGTTCAGTTCCCAGTCAACGCAGCCCACGTGCAGCCAGCACCCATCTGTCAGTGGGAGCTTGCATTTGCTGTGCTGCTGAACACGTTTCAGTGGA